TTTTAACATTCGCTAAGTAATCTTAACTTCTCTTTTTATATCTTTTATAGCTTCGTCGGCTTTAGCTAGTTTAAAAGACTTTTTTTTAATTATATTATCGAATAATTTATCTTCTAAGTTTATTTTAATAGTAATACTCGATTCTTAAGAAGCACGCGCCTTAAAAATGCCGTAATTCTTTTCTTTTTATTATCGGATATTCTTTTTGATCTTAATAAGCTTAGATCTTTTCGAAAGCGAAAGAAGCTTTTTAGCTTTGTCTTTTGCGGTAACGTTGATCTCGACCGAAGCAACTTTTATACTAAATAAATAATTAAGCGTATTAATTTATCTTATAATATTGATATTTTTAATATCGATTAATCTTTTAAAGATAATAATAAGCTCACTTAACTAATTAATTAATCGTTGCGTATTTTGATCTAGCTGATATTAAGCTAGCTATTAGATTGGTTGTTAATAAAAAAGCAAATGTTTATAAGTCTTAAGTCCGCTAATAAATCGATTTTTTAAAATATTATCGTATTTTGTTTTACGAACGTTTAGCATAATAGATTTAAACTAAGTCTTTTTTTGCTTCTTTTAAATAATAAAAGCATCGATCTTCTTAAGTCTTAAGCAAAAGCGTTTATAATCACTAATATAAATATATTTTTTATTAATTATGTCTTTAAAAGCTTTATACTTATCTTAATATTAATAAAAAGCTTAAGTTATATTTTCGAAGTTCTCGCAAAAGTTATAATCTTACATTTAGTTCTCGTATCTTTTACTTTTTTTTTTCTCGTTTTTATAGTCCGTAGCCGATAGCAGCAATATAAACTCTCTTTTTGAAGCTGACTTTACTTTTAGCATCTTAAGTAATATATTTAATAAAAGCTTCGTCGTAGTTTTCGAATCGAACTTAAAATTAAGATTAAATAAAGCGTCGAGAAAGTAAATTAGCGACTTAGTCTTCGAAGTAATCAATTCGATTATAAATCGCACCGATCTGCAAATTAAAAAACTTTTTAATTATAAAACTTATTTTATTAATTTCTTTTTTTTCATTTATAAACCGTAGTTCACGAGTAAACGGCATTACTATTAAAGCTTTTTTAATAGACTCAAACACGCTAGCTAGCTCGGTATGCTCTTTAACTAAAGTCTAAATATCTTTAATAAAGTTAATTAAAAAAGACTTTTCTCGGTTTATAGCTTTAATAGTCTTAGCACTTTAATCGGTTTTAAAAGCGAATGCAGCGAAGTTTTCGAAAGCGGCATAAAAGTTTAAGTTAAGTTCGTCGACTTTATAATGCTTGATCGTTTTGTTTCGGATTCCGACGAACAATTTAAAAAAGAACAAGCGGCTTTATTCGATTTTGCTTAAGAAGTGCATTAAAGTAAGTCTTTCGAAGACTCGAAAGAAAGTGCGATAATAGTTTTTCAAGTTATTAACGTCTTGTTTTTACATAGCAAATTTCTATAAGAAAGCAATCGAGTTTTTAATCTGCTAAGTATCGTTTTTACGAAACTTAGCTCTTAAAGCCTTAATGAAAGCAGCTTAATCTTTTTTAACTTTTTATTCGAGCAAGTTCTTAATAACTTTTTTGCGAAAGTTATTATAATAACGAAAAAGCTTAACGAAGCGATCGTTAATAAAAATATTAAAGTTATCGCAAGTCTTTTCGTACTTTTTAATAAAGTCGATAATATTAGCACTATTAAAACAAAGAGCTCTTAAAGCACTTAGCAATAGCATGCGAGCAGTTATAAAAGCGTGCAAGATAACAGGATCGATTATAACTAACATAAGACCTAATAGAAAAGAAAAAAGAAAAAAAGTAGTATTGGTTTTAAAACTAGTATTAGTTTTAAAAAGCATTTTTAAAGCAATTGTTTCCGATAAAAGTAAAGGTTTTAATTAAGAGTCGAAGTAAAATAAAAATAATCTAAAGCTTAAAAGAATACGATTAAAAGATTTAATAAATTTAAAGAATTCTAATAAAAAAAAAGTAATTCGGCGTTGACTTCGATATTAAAAATCTTAAAAAAGTTTTCGGTATTTTAAAGATCAAACATGTATATGTAATAAAAATGATCGAGTTGATAAAAGGTTTTTGAATTGTTTGATTTTAATTCGTAAACCGGGTTCACGAGCTAAATAAGCGATTTTTACAAAGTATTTTCGATTCGAGATTAAAAAAAGTAGACTTTTTATAAAAGTAAATTAATAGTTAAAATTAAAACTATAAAAAACTTAAGAATTAATTGATTAGCTTCGCTAATTACTTTAGACTATATCAACTGCTTCAATTCAAGACGAAAGCTAAAATATAAAAAGGTATTTTTATTAATAAATGAAAATTCTTTTTTATTAATAATAAAAAAGAGTTTTTGCCGAAGAGCCGAAATATTACACTTCGGCTATTGCGGCGTTTTAGTGTCCGAACTTATCGAGAATAGGTTTTTGATTGTTTTGAAGTTGTAGTTGAGTATAAAAAAGAACCGAATGATAAACGAAAGTCAACTTGACTGCGAATCAAGCGATTGTAATAGCTGTATAAAGACAAAGACTAAAGGTTTGACTCTTTGCGTAAGTCATTAAAAATATAGAAGCACTTAAAAAAGATATACCGTATAAAAGCTTAGCTTTAAAGCTAGACCTTATAGTCTTATAAAAGAAGTGCTAAAAAAAATAAGTAGAAAGCTCGTTGATTGTCTTAGCTAAAAGATGTGTGCCCTCTCTTATAGAAGATGGGTCCGTTTAGTGTGGCCTTAGTGCCATAGCAGGTGCCCCATCAAGCAAGGTGTTTACAGTAATTCGTAAAAAGGTCTAAGGTCTCTCTTATAAAAAGAAGTATTTAAAGAGGTTTCTTTTTTATAATAAATTATTAGATAAATTATTTCTTGCGCCAATTACGTTTAGATTTATTCGGTTTTTATTATTATTTATTTTATAATTTACTCAAATATATGAAGATTTTTATGAATCGAGTAATTAGCTCGTTGGTGACACTACAAAGAACTTGGTCCTTTGCCCTGGTGAATCATTAAATAAATTATTTCTTACATCATTACCTTTATATTTATTTAATTTTTATTATTGTTTATTTTATTGTCACCTACGGTGACCTAAGATAAATTCCAGTAGTTATGGTAGTGGTTAGTCATCCAATCACGTGAGACTATTCTATACCGGTCTGGCAAGATGTCTGAGCGTGCCAAGACTTTTATTCCATATCAATCCATTGAACTTTTTTCGGAACGAGTCGGCCCGTTTAATTCATGTACAACAGCTAAGCCTAATTCAGCCACCGCTATTGATTCTGCCAGCCATATGTAACGCACGTCGCTGCTACACGTAACTTACGTAAGGCTGCTACACGTAACCTACGTAAGGCTGCCACACGTAACCTACGTGAGGCTGCCACACGTAATGCACGTCGCTGCCTTACGTAATACGTAAGGCAGCTAGGCTGCCACACGTAAAGCACGTCGTTGCCTTAAATATAAGTAATTCGCAAAAGAGTAT